GTTTTATTCCTCTGTGTTGTTGCAGACCTTCAGGGTGAGAAGGAGAAAACAGTTCTTTGCAAAATGACCTTTGTCACAACACTTAAGTTATGTGTAATTTATGCTTTTGTGTTTGTGTATCGTACAGGCAGTGCATGTTTTTATTACACGAGTCTCTCTTTGAAAAATATCTGCATAAATCTGGCAGCTGCAATCAATCATCCCTGAGTGGTATTATGACAGTAATAATTATAATAAAAACAGAAGCAGTTTGGACCACACTGTTAATTTCATTACACTGTAGCTGTATATTAGACATGATTTGAAATATAATGAACATAAGGTTAACTTTACGCTGCACCTGCACTTCGTTCAAAGGTGAAAGATTGGAGATAACCAGGCTAGGTGTGCTGATAGGAGAGGATTGAAGATAAACTTTTCAGTAGGACAGGGTGCAAGTGTTATTAAGCAAATTTCTTTTTTGCTGACTTCATGCTGTTAAAGACTAAATGAAGTATTGCAGTGACTGTGAATAAACAGAAACAGATCTCATGCTCAACTCTGCTTTTTTACCAGGATAATTGTAGACACCACCCAACAAAGAATGTTTATGGTAAAAATAAATAAATAAATTAGCAAGTAGCCTTTTTCAAATTAATGATGACACATCACAGCTGGTTAGATTATTTAAATGTCTGGTTTAAACCAAAACATTATCATTTAGTGCTTTAGTTAGCGCCCTCACTATAAAGATGGGGATTAATTGTCCAGAGCAAAAGCTAAACTTTTCCCTTGATTTCTAAAAGTATTCAGCAGTTTGAGATGTTTCCTTGATACTGATTTATTTACACAATTGACCAGTTAATAAAATTTCTGACTTTTTTCTCTTTTGATCACCTACATGATATAGTCTTTTACTTCTTTCACATGGCTTCATATGACTGTATCACATATAGTCTTCATAAAAATAAGGTGCTGCCAGGATTCAAATATTGAATATTTTGAGGAATTTAGTTATAATTTTTAAGTGCTTTTTCTCTAAGTATTTTTAAACCATTCATCAAATTGTTGACTAGTTTTTCTTTTGATGACGTTACCAGAACCAGATATTGCATATTTTGAGAAATTTGGTATGTCAGTTATAATTTCAAAGCACGTTTGAATGGAAGTTCAAAAGTTTTATGTTATGATTCTCACTGATTTCTAATATCCTGACAGCACCTGTAGTCCACACGGGGCTCGGGAGGCTGAAAGGTGAGTATGTGAGTGTGAAAGGGAAGGAGACTGGCGTCCATGCCTACCTGGGTGTCCCATTTGCCAAACCACCCCTCGGCCCTTCCTTGAGACTGGCTCCACCTCAGCCTGTAGGAGGATGGGAAGGAGTAAGAGATGCCACTAAACAGCCACCAATGTAAGAAATGTGTGCTTCAACACACTTTGAGAAATGATTGGCTTTATTTGTATCATTAACATTGTCTCTCTTTAAGGTGCATTCAGTCTAAAGAAGCTGTTTTGGATCTGCTTGATAAACTCGGTGAAGCACTGGCAGAAATACCAGACATCTCTGAAGACTGTCTTTACCTCAACATTTACACTCCTGCAAACAGAGCTAAAAATGCCAAGCTCCCAGTAAGAACCTTTTGCTGTAGATTATGAGGGATGCCTAATCACAGTCTCAATAAAGACACCCATCTTTAGAACTCAATTGTACATGTTATCATCTAAAATGTAAACTTAAGTGTTTTTGTTTGTTTAACGTTTACATTTATGAAGATTAGTTATTGTAGCTTGACTGAGACTCCAAAAGATCCTCTAATCTTTGACGGAATGCTCTTTTATTGTTCTGTCCAGGTCATGGTCTGGATCCATGGTGGGGGCTTTGTGATGGGATCAGCTTCAACATATGATGGCTCTGCCTTGGCTGCTTACCAGGACGTGGTTGTGGTTCTGATCCAGTATCGCTTGGGACTTCTGGGTTTTCTCAGGTAAATAAACTCGATCCATCAATAATCTCTCCAA